CACAAAATTACATGTGCATTAATAAATGTGTTCATTGCACATTTATGCTCAAAGCTGATACCACACTAACGTGATGAGTGATTTTATACTGGGTGCCTCCTTAAGATCCATTTGTCACTAGAATGCCACTTAGTAGAGCACACTCCACCACCGAGGCTCCAAAGTCCCCTTCAATTCAATCATGCTGCACCAAACTGCTCACACTCACAGATATCATTTCCCTTAATATGCCAGATTTTTGCTATTCATAAAGTTCCATGTATTATTCTTTGGGGCATTGGTGAAATTTTCACAAAAAACAAACTATCTTGCAATGTTAAATGAAGTGATAAAAAAATCCTCTCTTTGGCCCACACCCCATCCTGAAAAGAAAACCAAAAAAACAAGAAAAATTAATAGATGGGGGCAAAAACACAAATTCCTCGGTGGAGTAACAGTAGTTTTAAACATGCTTGAGTTACATTGAGGTTGCAGTAAGGTAAGTAACTAAATTTCTACTCAGAATTTCCTTTGTTTATAGCAAACAGCTACACTTTGAAAACTTGGAAAGCATAGCACTAAAACAATACCTTTTTATTGTACTGGAATTTTATTAATGACATATATATAAGTCATATATTGGGGGAAAAACTGTTTTCTTCCTTCTGTTGCAGTCAATGGCACAATCTTCGGTTATGTTACCAAAGCACTAAGTGTGTAGAAAACAATTCAGTAGAAAAGGATCCGAGACACCACCTGCACCAACTCCGACACGGACTACAGACTCAACTCTGCCTGTGGATTTGTCATCAGTGAATCACGAGAAAGTGCCTCACATAAATAATGCATGTGCTGTGTCTGCAGCTGGAGTTTCAGTGTTTTTCTTTTTTTTTCTTGACTCAAGATGCATAAAAAACTCCCTCTTCTCTCTCATCAACACGCCACCCTCTCTCTCCGGAACACTTCAGTCTAATCACATGTTTACAAAACACTTAAAAAGACCAAGAAAATATTTTAAATCTTACCACTATGCTAGATTTTTATTTTTTTGTGGATTTATATTTTTTTGTCTTCTGTAAGCATTTGAAATTTATACATTTGTTGCCAGTAAACCATTGGTGTCTTTATTGCTGTTAATGCAGGATGTAATAAAGTCTTTGCAAGTTAAGCACATGAATATTAAGTTACTGCCTTCGTCGTATTACACAACTAAAGAACGTTTTAAATACCTGCCAACACATCAGCAAAATAGTTTGAATAAATTCTTGTTCTTGGGAATATTTGCTTACTCAGCAGTTTTATGTTTATATAGTGTGGAATACTTTCACTTGTATTTGTTCTACATGACTGTTGCATGAATCAGAAAATCAAAACTTTTAGAGCATTACATTTCTATATCAGATCAGATTTCTACATTTATAGACACAGGAGACACTTTTGGACATAAGATTCATCATCATCTAATGATACTGGGATTGTTGTAGGAGTGCTGGGCCTTTAGAACCACTCAAGTCCTTTTTCTCATCTTCATTTGCTGCAACTGAATCGTGTCACTATGCAGAGTATCTAAAAATAGTCTCATTGTATTTCCTCTTCGTTGCCTTGTCTCAACATTATGAACCTATTTTTCAGCAGAAACGGGTGTCAAAGATTTTGACTTCAAAGAACTGAGGTCACATTGGGACATTATCAGAGTCTGTGCGGTGAAATGTGAGCCTGTGCAAGAATTTACATTACTTTTAGAATTAGAGTTGAAATAATAAATAGAAAAAAGAAGTGTGAAGGATAAAGTTTTGGTGTATTTATATCTTCTGGATTTGTCAATTCAGATTTAAATTTCTTGTTAACTGGACAGAAAAGTAGCCGTTATATTTCGATATATTCTTAGCTTGACAAATGCTGGACTAAGTGGTTCCTCTGTTGATACACAAACAGTGTGTTCAGGCCTGTAAGGCTGTTAACTGTGGGACATGAAACTCCAAAAGAGACAAAACAGAAGTGTGTGGCTCTGAGGTTAAATCTCATGCACTAACATGCACTAACGTGCACTAACGTAGAGGTGGAAATTTAACTTTTAGCTAATGATTGATAAAGGGTATATTTTTATTGTGACTTATTTCATACACTTTACAAACTCACATTGCAACTTATCTAAAGTGCAGATGAAACCTGACTTCCCTAAAGTAGAAAAAGTATTTAACTGTTTCTCAAACATCTGGTGCCATATTTTTGTACCATCTGACAAATTAACAATTTTTTGTACTTTCTCTTCTAGTTTCCTTAAAATGTTCAGTGAGGATAATTAAATGGTTGCATTAGCAGGGAAGTCCAGAGCTGCAGTAAAAACATGATAATGAACCGTCTGGGGTTGTAATGTGAAGCAGTTTCCTGTAAAGATATTGTAAATACAAAGAAAAGTTACCTAATTAAAAATATTTTAAAATTCTGCCAGGGGACTCAACGGTACCTTAACATTTAAGGTCTTCAAACTTGAAACAAAATTCAAATAGCTAGATTTTCTTTTCTCTGGTACCTAAGAGTAAATCAGCCATTACTGCCAACGACCCAATTACTTTTGCATCTAACCTGCTCCCACCTTTAAACACATGATAAATCTTAAGAAGGGACATTTTTATTAAAGTGCGTACTATCCCAGATCTGTTGACCGTGTTTATAAAGAGGAAATTGGACTCAATAGAGATAATTCTTATAGAATAGTGCATCACAGTTAAGACACTAATGTTCAAAATGTGCAAAACATTTTTCAATGGCTTTTGTGCTATTTGGTTAAATATCTGTGATGGCAAACTATTCCAAATTCAGTGTTCTCGTTTGGAAATATATAAGAAAAATCTACTACAACCATACCTTAAAAATATAATACTATACAAATATTACAGTAAAACACTCAACGTCATTGGAGGATTTCAATGACACAACTGAAGCTAAACATGAAATAAAAACTGGAAAGTCTGACAGCATTTAGATTGTTATTGCAGCTTTTTTGAAGCTTGTGTTGTTTGACATATTAGCGACGCTGTGCCTGTAGATGACCCTGATTTCGTTAGAAGTGAATCTATCATGTCTAATTAGCTGCAAACAGTGAAATAAATAGAAACGGATCTCACAGCAGTCACTTGAGGAGTCCGTGGCTGCAGGCCTCTGCAACGGGGCCCGCCTCTCAGAGCTCTGCCTCCCGGTTCACAAACTCGCAGCAGCACGGTGCGTTTCACAGATTCTCCAGATTCTCCAGGAAAGCAACCACGCTCTCGTGAACGTTCTCCTTGGCCAAATCCACGGGCCGACGTTGTTTCTTGTCCCGGGCCTGTGGGTCAGCATGGTGCTCCACCAGCAGCCGCACGGTGTCCAGAAAGCCCGTCCTGGCCGCGTCATGCAGCGGAGTGCTCCCGGTGCTGCTGTCCGCCAGGTTGGGATCCGCTCCGTGACTGAGTAAGAGCCGAGCCACCGGTGCGCTCCCCATCATCATCACCTTCATTAACAAATAAATACAGACTTAGGTAGAGCCACATGTAATTAATGTGATCATCCTGCACACATGGAACCATGTAAAAGCATCATAAAAAGAGAAAGGACCAAACACGGCCAAATATTGACCTGTATGCAATTTAATAAAAACCCACTGAGCCAATAATTAATTTTACTATTGTTACTCCTCTTTATATTCAAAAGCTATTCGAGGTTTTAAAGAACAAGTATAAGACATTATAATTCCAGACTGAAGCTCCAGATGACAAAGACACAAAACCAGTGAGAAGACATTGTCTCACATTAACTACATTTTACTTCATCCTGACTATTATACTTTATAGGAAATATGAGTGTGTGTGTATGTATTCACTGGAGCTGCTGCCAGGCCTCATATAACGCACCAGAAAAACGCAAAAGAAAAAGGCCAGCATCACATTTTACTTCCACCGTGCGTGGCTCCTGCGCCACAGGCCTTTTCTAAGCCTCTATACAACTTTAGTTTCGTTTTCTCCCATCTCACAGACACATTTTATTTAATTCTACTGATTTGAATTGAAAATTAAACATGTTTTCTTCCTCAGAACAATAAAGTTTGTTTACACGAGATACACACACTTCATCTGCATTTTGAGATGTGTTAAACTTAATTTTTATAATAATAGAAATGTCAAAAAAGAAAAAAAAAAGGTTCAGTATTCTACACTATCGTCAGTACTGGTTTTCAGCAGAAGCTCTATTGCTCTTAAACTGCTGATGTCACGGAAATGAAGAAATAAACAATGTCAGATGGTAAGAAAGAAAGACAGAAAGCTCAAATCAATACTCACTTGAGTGATATTTTGTTTTGTGGATCAAAGTCACTTATGAGCAAATGGAAACATTATTATAATAACAAAACTTTCTACTTTGAACGTGACTATAATTCTCCATAATATGCTGCTCTTCATCTGTGGTTTCACTATTTAAATACATAGTTTTGGGTCTGATTCAAAACATCGCAATATGAAATAAACAATGATCCAAAGTCACAGTATTCAAGGACTTTAGAAACTCGTGCAGAAATCTAAAGTCTCCACAAAGCTTGCACTTATGTTTTAAGCTTATGTGTGTGTTTCTAAAAAATGCCTGAATTTGACCATGCAGGCCCCAGACTCACGGGACTGTGCGTCTTGTTCAGATGCGTTGCTTTTTCACCGAATAAGCAAAGAACAATATAATAAATAACCTTGACTTTATTTCCCTATAATCCAGATGTCGTTTGATGTTAACACGAGACGCATTTAAGCGTTAAACTGAACTTTTTCTCGGCGGATGACGCGGATCTGGTGACACCGACCTGCAATGCGGTTCGTCCAAAGCTGTTGAGGCCGTTAGCGTCCGCCCCTGCCCGGAGGAGACGCTCCACATCCGCGGCGCGTCCGTTCGCTGCGGCGGTGCTCAGCTCATCTCCGACAACCATCGCTGTGTCCTGAAGCGTGCGGCCGGGGAGCTCCGTGGAGGATCGTGCAGGAAAGGAGGATCTTGGAGGTTCGTGGACTATCGCTTGGGCAGGTAGCGTGATGCGCACTGGAGAAAAAAGGCAGCGGCTAATGCTAATAATATAGTTGTAGCAGGTGAGCGAGCCGGGGGTGGGTGATGTGTTCTGGTCAGCGGGCCTCAGTTGATGTCTGAGGCGGGTGAATCAGTCTCTCAGCGGTCTGTCTCTCGGTGTGTGTCCGGGCTTGCCTGTGTTTTGAATGGATGACGTATCGATCGTGCGCATGCGCCCCTGCCTCCATGGCTCCTGGTTCTGACAGCAGCGCTCAGTCTTTTCCTCTTCAGACCTCTCGTGTTGCATCATGCGCAGACTCCCTCTGCATCACGCAGATAACGGAGGTTTAGAAGTTCGTGCACAGTCACGCAGACAAGTTTCAGCTTTTAACGCGGCTGCCAGAGGAGGAAAGTTAGAGACTCGTTGCTTTGCACTTTCACTCAGATCTGAGTGGGAATCTGTGACAGCCCGTTTCCGTCAATGAAAAAAGATCAGTAACAGATAAAAAAAATCACGAGATTTAAAAGTTGAAATTAGATGACAACTTATTATTTTTCAGCCAGTCGTTCATTACTTTGAGATGCTAAGTCATTATTTTCTACTTGCTCATTATTTTGAGATACCAAGATAATATTTTCCACCAGGTCATGTTTTCAGATACGAAGTTAATATTTTCTACTCATATTTTGAGATACTAAGTTGTTGTATTGAGAAACTATGTCATTATTTGGAGCTACTAATTATTTTGAGACACCAAGTCAATATTTTATACTATCGTTTTGAGATACTAAGTTGTTATATTGAGAAAACAAGTTGTTATTTTTGAGATGCCAAGTAAATATTGTCTACTAACTCGTATTTTGATACATATGTGATTATTTTGAGATATTAACTTGTTGCTCTGTTAAGCAACGTTAACCACTGCTGTAAATGATGGAGGAGAAACACAGCATGCAGGGCCTCTGTTAGGAATGTGACCAATAATTGATCAGTAAATGAAATGTGTGTGAGGTGAGGATAGATGGACTGATTGTTCCTCGTAGATGGAATAATGATTGCTAGCTATGCGTCTGTATTGAAAATAGGATGCAACACGTTTGTCATCAGATTGAAACAGGGATGTGACTGACCTGAGGATGGTAGGAAAGTTTAGTTTTATGAATATGAGTCATGGCAAGATATTTCTTTTAAACTGTAACACGATGTTCAGGATTCATTTGAGACAAATATGTGCACTCAGCATGAGCAGGGCTGCTGTTGAGTCTAAAGCTGTTTATCATTCTGTTTTTGTCATTTCAAAGTGCACCCATCACAGTTTGTTTTCTCAGAAACTGGAATTGGACAGTTTCTATGAAACCCACAAGTCCTGTGATTAGACATATAGAAATATGAAAGCTTCAGAGTTGTTTATTCAGCCTGGCTGTGGGCAGATGAGTATTTCCTGATTTCAGTGTAGTGTTGAGTGATTCTGATTTCAGGTTGATACATAACCACACAAAAATAAAGAAGGTTACAAACAAGAAATATTCTTCAACAAAACAAAATCAATATGTTTTATTTATATAGCACTTTTCTTAACATATAATGTGCTTAAAGGTACAGTGTGTAGAATTTTGTGATATCTAGTGTTGAAATTGCATGTTGCAGCTGAACACCCCTCACCTCACCCTCTCCTTCCAAACATGATAAAGAACCTGTGGTAGCCTTTAATTGTCATAAAACTTAAAAGGTGTTTAGTTTGTCCAGTCTGGACTACTGTAAAAAACATGGCAGCCTCCATAGAGAGGGTCCCCTCCATGTAAATATAAAGTATTTAAATATAAAGGGCCTTTTCCGGGGTAAAGAAAACTACAATTCATACAATTTAGATGAAACAAACTAGTAAAAACATCATGAGAATTATTCTACATTAAAGTTCTGTCAATAGTTCCCTTTCACCTAAATCTTACACACTGGACCTTTAAGAGATAGAGAAACAAGGACACTAAAAGAATAGCAATTACAACAAGAGATACACACAAAAATAAAACGATAAATGTCAAACATTAAAAATGCAAAAAGCACTGACCATTCCCTGAAATAGACTCCTACCCCCTGAAGGTGTTTGAATAAAAACCTGCATTGAACAATGGAGGCCCTTTGTTATATTTTGATCTTACCTCTGGTGGAAGCAGAAACTATCTCCTTTACAAAAATAGAAAAAAGTCATCCTACAATGTACAAATACCTTGTAACAGATAAAGGATCTGCATTAAAAATTGTAGTAATATCCAACAAAATAAAGTTAATTAAATATAATAATATGAGATCATTTAGAAATGAGTTTTCCGTCAATCCATCCATTGGCTATACTGCAAATCCTGGAGCTAGAGCTGTAGCCTTCGTAGTTCATACTAAATACCAAGTTGTGATTTTTTTATGACATGATCATATGTTTTGATTATAAAAGATGCATAGTATACAGTGTATACAGTGGCATAAAACTGAAATAATCATGAAGGTGAGTGAGCAATGAGGTGAGGCAAATAATTGGTTCTCATGTGACTTTCCAGCTTGATAGCAGTGAGCTCTCTTGAATTTAAAAATACGTATCTTGATGTAGCTGCAGCTGGAGGAGTGTGAAGTCATACAGTGTTCTGAGGTCACAGTGTGGTGGTGTGTGTATCAACAGTCTTAATTCTCAGTTTATCTGTGTAAGGGTGAGAGGACAAGTGTGGAATGTGTGTTCGTCTGGGGGTTCACAGCCTGTAGCGACGGAGTGTGCATGGGTGGAGGTGTGTTGGTTTGGAAGTCCCCTGTGTGCGCATGCATGTGTGTCTGTGTGTGTGTGTGTGTGTGTGTGTCTGTGTGTGTGCACATGTCTCTGTGTGTGTGGGTGTGTGTGTGTGTTATTGCAGACATTATGGCTTTATGCCTTTCATGTTCTGTTTAAAGTATGAAAGAGTAAACAGGTCACATTTTTACACAGTAACAGAAGGACTTTGAAGGGGACAATTAAAACTCGCTTTTAATAACAGCCAAGGCCATCATCAAACATGTCTGCCGCAGCGGTTTTTCTTTGTAGGGCTTGACTTCATGACATCAGTGCATTTGGAACGTTCTTTTGGTCAGAAGAAATGCTTCAGGAAGAAAGTCCTACTCTTCATGGCTAAATTTAGGAGCCTAGTTCGAAGGAAAGTGGTCAATAAGGCGTTATTGTAATCTGTTGTAAGGTTTTTCTCACAGAACCTCCTCAGAGTTACATTTCTTAGTATTGCACTTGGTTGCTTGGTATTTTGATGTTGCAACATATGTCTTCTGAGAATGAATGAGTGAATGAAAGCTTCATTTGCACTTCTTGCATTGGACTTGAAATTGAACTTTACACGCAAACACTTCAGTGCCACCGAAACCACAATCCTCTGCAGCTGAGAAGGGGAATACCTGCTCTGATTCCCAGTGAATGAAATCACCTCCTGCTGACTGTTCAGTTGAAATCCCCCTTTTATTACTTGTTTTGAATGGTTTTATTGTTGCTCCTTTTTTATTGCGCAAAGTATACAATATTCAGCACTTCAGAGGTTTAACAAAAAGATTATTATTACAATTGCATCCGTTGCTACTAAATCTAGATTAAATTGCATCATTTGCAGCAGCAGAGCACATTTGGCTCAGATGAAGAAAAATCTTCTGCACAGAGGTTTGATGACAGATGGCTGAATTTCTAATTGATGCTCACTGTGGTAAAGTATAAAGTGGATGAGCCTCGGTTGTCCTTACTTGAAGATATATTTTTATGTCAACGTAGATGTGTGGACAGAGAAGAAGATTCTTGGTCAAGTACGATAGAATCATCTCAGTATCTTTCTAACTACTAATCTATCTTCTAATTCCAGACAGTTCTGTCTGTCCGTCTGTGGCTTGCGTATCTAAAGAACCATTCATCTTATTGGTGTCACGATACATTCAATATTAATAAACTTTGAATAATCAAGCAACCGGCTCTCTGTGGCAGTTGCGGCTGGTATTCATCAATGTGAGTGACGATGTCGATTAGGACAACAGGACATTCACTTGCCCTGGTTCAACTACTGCAGGTCAGGTCAGCAAACAGTCCATTCCTAGCAGACATGTTTAGAACGGCCACTGTACTAGTTATACCGAAAGGGAGGGAGCAGATAATATGTCTGGGTCACTAAAAGTCATGTTAGGATTGTTATTATCTTCTTGAGAATGGAGACTGTCTCAGGGTAGATCTTATCCCAATGCCAGAGACAGAATGACGACGTTAAAACATCTTAATCTTCTGCATTCCAATTCTTTAAGGTATGTCACACACACAATTAAGAGTATTAAAATCTGTCTAAGTCACAAATTCCCTGACAAGTTCCTGGTAGGGTGCTGAGTTTCTTCTGTCCACTCTTCCCCTGTCATCTTCACATCAATAAGAAACCTGGTGGATACAGAAAAAAATTCAAATGAAATGACTTTTTAAGCCCTTTGATTCATCAAAGTATATCTCTTTGGTTTATTTCATCCTCTTCTGAGCAACATTATGTCAAATTATTTTAGCATGATGAGAAATATGCCACTAACTGTCATACTTCACCTTGGTTTGGCCTCTATACCCAGTGCTATCAGCAGCCGCTATGCAGTTAACTTTCGTAAACCTTATGTAGAAAAACACGGCTGTTGATATCCTCTCTTTGCAGTTGTGCAATTCTACATGTTATGTGGTATTTCACCGTGCTGTGGTGAGCGGAGGCCGTGCCCCTGCTTGCACAGTGTCCTTTCACATTGTTCTGTTTTTAATTACATCTGCCCGACGTTATTCATGTCTCATGCCACTGTGACTTTTCCCAGAGGATTAAAATGAACTATTTTCCTTTGGCGAGTCTGTGATCTCAACACCAACATTAATTGCACAACATTTCAATGCATCTCTGTGTTATGGTTCGATATGACTCATGTATCCCAGGGTAAGACCTTCGCACTGATTCAACCCTTCCTCCACTATTTGCAGACTGAACATTACATCAAAGGCACATCAGAGACTGTGACTGTGGGTTAAACACACACACTTTAGGAGACTGTATTGTAGATAAACCCTTTGTTATGTCGGCCTCCGCGAGGAACACTTTCCATGAGCAGAGGATAACAGCCAGACAGAGGAAGGGTTGAGCTTAAAGCACATAATTGATCCACTCATTCAGTCATTCACCTTCTCTTTTGTTCATCTTACATGTTTGCTTAAA